TGACGGCCTTTTATTATTAAATTTGCAATTTTGTGGAGATAATTTAATAACTGTTTATTAACCTTATTAGGTAAAAACAGCCATTCTAATAATGTTGTTTGTTGGCCAATGCAAGCAGATGGTGTATGAGAAATATGGAAGATATAAAGAGAGATAGGTAATGATGGATCTAATCGATTTAAGATACGTTGTTCTACAAATTCTAATTCTGCTTGAGCTTCAATTGTTAAAGTTCTAGGGCTGTCTAACTGAGTCTCCTTCTAAAGTAGCAAATAAATGTTTGAGATTATGAGTAGGAATTCCTAACATTGGCCGCAGCCAATTAATATCCCCTAATAATTTTTGAAAATTGTTTAATGTATTTAATTTGTCTTTTTAAAGTGTAACCTTTTGAGGACGAAGCTGCTGTTCTGATAATTTAAAACCTAAATAAGAAACAGGATATTGATATTTGACTTTTTCAGATGCAATGCAAAGATTAAATTTCTTTAATTGTTTTAATAAAAATTCACAAGCTACATTAAGGGTATTTTGATCAGGAGCAGTTAATAATATATTATCCATATAATGGATTAATTTTATAGCAGGAAAATATTGTCTAACAGGCTGAAGAGCTCTGTCAACAAACTCCTGACACATAGTAGGACTATTAAGCATTTCTTGTGGTAACACGACCCACTGATAGTGCATAGTAGGTCTTTCATTATTATATTCAGGAATAGTAAAAGCAAATTTCTCTTTATCATTAGAATGTAAAGGTATTGTAAAAAAAAATCTTTTAAATCAATTACAAATAAGAGGCCACTTTTGTGGTATCATTGCTGGGGATGGTAATCCAGGCTGTAAGGTTCCCATAGGTTGGATACATTTATTAACTTGTCTAAGGTCTGTAAGAAATCGCCATTTGCCACTTTTATTTTTAATAACAAAGACAGGAGAATTCCAAGGAGAAGTGGAAGGTTCTATATGACCTTCGCATAACTGTTCTACTAACAAATGTAAGGCCTCAAGTTTTTCAGAATTAAGGGGCCACTGTTCAGTCCAAACAGGAGTTTGAGTTAACCAAACAAGAGGTAATGCTTGAGGCTGCTGAACAGTGGCTGTTAGTTTAAAGGATTGTAATTCATATTTAACATCATATTTTTCCCTGACTCTGGCAAAGCAGGAATAGAAACAAAAGCTCCAAATTGTTTTAACAAATCCCTTCCCCATAAATTAGTACTAATATTTAGAACAAAAAATTGCGTTTGAGCTTTTTGTCCGCCAGGTTCAATGCAATCATAAACCTCTATAGATTGCCAAACATCTGAAGTAGTTCCTAGTCCTGACATGGTAATACTGATTTTTTGCAAAGGCCAATTAAGAGGCCAATTACTTTTACTAATAATAGATACATCAGCTCCTGTATCTACAAGACCTGTAAAAGAAATTTGATTAACAGAAAGGGTAAGAGAAGGCCTTTGATCATTGATTAAAGTTTCCCCAAATAAATGTTTTCCTGTGCTTCCAAATCCTCCAACTCTAGCTTTATTGAGGGCAGGAAAAGAATGATAAGGAAGAAGTAAAAGTTGAGCAATTCTTTGACCAGCTTGGAGGCACATGAACTGTTTTACAGAAGCAAGAATAATAATTTCATCAGTAAAATCTGGATCTATAATTCCAATACGAACTTGGAAACATTGACTAGTAAGACTCCCACATCCAATAATCATTCCCACTGTTCCTGGAGGTAAAGGACCACAAACACCAGTTTTCAATTTATACACTCCTCCTGATGGGGATAAAGTATAAGGTTGAGTAACAAACAAATCAGCAGCAGCACTACCTTTTGTAGCTGCCTTTAAATCTGATATTAATCCTGCTTGGGACTCTCTTGCTGACGACGGAAAAGACCATTACTGACTGGATACTGCTGAGTTGGCTTGGTATTGTTTATGGGGCCCCAAGGCTGTTGGCCCCGAAACAAGTTTCCCGACTGATTTGCTGGAGATGACAGAGGAACACCATCTTTGGTTATATTAGATCGACATTCATTTGTCCAATGATATTCTTTTCCACATTTTCGACAAATGCCAGGAGGTTGAGGAATTCTGGACCAACAATCTTTTTGCAGATGCCCTTTTCTTTTACATTTATAACAAGTTACATTACTTTTAACATGTCGTATTGCTCCTGCAAAAAGCTGTGCATTATAGGCAGGAGTTCCTACACCAGAATAAGCTCTAATATATACATCAATTTTAGCTCCTTTGCTTTTCAATGGAAAAAGAATTTTTTGACATTCAGCATTTGCATTTTCAAAAGCTAAAGACTGAAGAACTATATTAGGGGCATGACCCTTGCCAAGCCCTTGAGTAACAGCATCTTTTAGGCGAGACAAAAAATCTGTATAGGGTTCATTAGGTCCTTGTGTGGTTTTAACATATGAAGGAGAAGCACTACCAGATGCCTCTATGCGATTCCAAGCCTTAAAAAAAAATCATTTTTACTTGTGTTAAGGCTAAATTTTGCATTACTGCCTGTCAAGGAATATCCTCAAAGGGACCAGTACCTCGAAGCTCATCTACTGTAGGTCCAGGAGGGTTTCTTTGTGCATTCATTCGAGCTTGAATTCTCGCTTCTTCCCACCACCAACTTCTTAAGAGCATCCATTGAGGACCTTCCAACACAGCTCGACCTAAAGTTTCCCAATCATGAGGAATAAGAAGATTAGTACTAGCAAAAGATTCAATCATGCCCTGAACAAATGGAGACTGTGGACCATAACTTTGAACTGCTTGTTTAATATCTTTTAAAAATTTGTAAGGTAATGGTACATGGTTAACAACAATTTCATTTTGATGGTTAGTAGGATTTCTGATAATAGGAAATGCGAAAAATGAATCATCTACTTGATTGGATAAAGGAAGAACCTGCTGTAACTCTTCAGCAGTAGGGGGTGGAGGAAATCCATCATTATAGCCTTTAAATTTATACTGGTTTTGTTTACTAGATGGAATGTTGGCTCAAGAGTTCCAGTTGGGAATAACAGAGGCGGTGCAGATGATGACGTAGACAATGTTGTTTTTTCTTTTGTTTTATCTTCTTGCTGATCAAACTTTCCTGCAATATTGCCAACCATTAATTTTAAAGTATTTAACTCAGCCACAATTACATCTTCATTACTTTCTTCTGTTTGGTTACTAGAGTCATCATTTTCCTCATTCTTTTTCTCTTTGTCTCTCAGAGGGCTAAGGGAAGTTTTTTCTAAAGCCTCATCACACGTACTTTCCTTATTGCTCCTGACAGAATTTTCCCCAAAAGAAGCCTCTAATAATATTAGTGCTTGAGTTATAGAAGAGCATAAAGCCCGTTGTTTAACATCTAACGTTCTTCCTTGCTGATGGGCCCTTCGCAGCTCCTCAACAACCTGCTCCCAATCTTTTAAATTCAACTGCACTTTATCTTGACAGCGAAACCAATAACACTCTTTCTTAACATTTTCAAACAGCTGTTTAATAGTTTTTATACTAAATGTTAAACCAATAGAGCTTAACAATCCTTTTATTATAATTATATATTCTTCATGTGTTGATGAAGAATTACCCATAATTATAAAATTTTTGAAAGCTTTCTCTTAAGATTATTAATCAATATTGTAACAACAAATATAGAAAAAAACAAGACAATTAGTACAAACATTTAGAGATTTCTGTTTTGAATTTTAACACTTCTTTTTTATTATTGGCTGTTTTGTATTTCTTATAACATCACTTTTCTTTCTTCTGTTCTTATTTATTACTCTTTTGTATTTTTTAGCCTTAACACTTCTTTTTACATCTTATTTTCAATTCTATGTTCATAATCCCGAAAGCTACTCACCTCTTTTGGTTCCTTCCAGGAATTCCCCTTTCAGGGAATTTGAATTTCAATGTCCTCTAAAGGCTCTGCCTTTAGAAAGTTTACCTTACCTTTGGGTTTCTCCCAGAGATCTCTTCAAGCCCCACGTTTGAGCACCAGATGTTGGGGACCACTTATTTTACTTCTCTGGGGAAATGATGCCTGGAAGAAAGGAGTAAATAAAAACACAAGCGACAAACAACTTACTGAAACAAAGCAGGACAGAAACCACCAGGCGGATGATGAAGACCACCCTGGGCAGTAGCCTGTCTTTATTTTTATACCTTTTAGAAACAAAGAGATGGTTCACAGAGAAATAGAAACTTTGAAGGTTACATTATAGAGCCCATGCGGGCTGGATACAGGAACAAAGTAGAAACATTAAGATTTATCTTACTGGGCCCGAAAAGGCGGAGATCTGAGTTCCCAGAAATTAAGACAAAAGGCTTTTGACAAGTAAGCAAGAAAAAATGAATAACAAATTGTGCACAATCTCCTTCTGATTAGAACTTGTTATAATTAATATAACTGCAACTGCCGTGCAACTGCTGAGAACAAAGGAATATTCATCTGTCGGGAAGAGTTACTTTTCTTGAGCTCGTTTGCAAGACTCAAGTCTCTTTTTTGTCTGTTTGCAGAACTTAGAGAACAAGTTTCTTCCCACACTCTATCCTCAGACCGGTGTTTTGGATAGGTGTCTGGAGTACATCTGTGTGCAGACTGTTCTCCCAAGATGGCTGTGCTTCGGCTATGCTCTGGCTCCATCAGAAAAACAGTTTTGCTATATTTTAAAAGTAGAAAACTCTTGTGATAGTCAAAGGGATTGATATTCTAGTTCCCTCCCACCGCATTGTCCACATTGCTTTTACTCTTCCTTTAATCACAATCCACATTTGCTTTAGTGCAATTTTAGTAGTAGTGGTGGAGCTGGACATTGTGAAACATGCATTAAGTTATGCATTTTCATGAGGCTCCTCATGAGGTTGTTCACTGCTCTAGACCTTAGTCCAAAGATGATGAGTCAGGAAGAGCATTGGAGTTGTGGTTTTCCGTTTAATTTCTGTGACTGTGTGGTCCAGAAGGAAATGAACTTGTGTGAGCCACATTCTCTTCTTTCGTAGGTGCCTGTGCCACTTGTTCTAGCTGCCCAAACCACTGGTTGAGTTATGATAAGTATTTTTATTACTTCTCATTGGATAAAAAGGACTGGAATGCTAGTCAAGAATTTTGCTTATCTGAAAACTCACAGCTCCTTATGATTAAAGATGTTAAGGAATTGGTAAGTGCAAATATTTCAAATATATAGATTGGTTTGTTAGTGAATGTTTTTTTTTTTACATTTTAAAATTTTATTTTATTTTGAAACTTTTATTTTTTTGTGCGCGTGTACCATCAATCAGATCCAACTGATACAGGAGGAGGTTGCCACTCCTTCTCCAGCAGAAAATCTGGTGGATTCGAATCATGCACCTCTGGGATTACAGCGCAGCTTCTTGCCTCCAGGCTACCAGTGCTCCCTGCAAGTTAGTGAATGATTAAAAAAAAAAAGTCTTCTTTTGAGGAAGAAATTTGGGCTTTATCATGGAGGCTATTATTTTTTACTTTTCCTCTACTTTCTCTTCCTCTTTCCACAATTGCTTTTCAAATCTTTTTTCTTTTTACCCCAAAAGCCCCAGTTATAGAAACTCAGATGTTCAAATATGTGCATTACCACTTCTATCACCTACTTTTCTTTTATGCCTTTCCTAAGTCAGATAGCAAAATACATTGAGGTTTATTCAGTGGACAAATGAAAATTTAAACTTTAATGACCTCTGATTAATAGCACAGGGTTACTATGAGTTGAAATTTGACTCAGTGACAATGCATTTTTTTGTTTGTTTTTCCTAATAGTAGATTTGCTTTCTGGCCATGTTGGGACAAGTCTTATTCTCACTCAGATATAGCTGCTTCGGGGAATAAAAGTTGACTCAAACCAATAGCAAAAGTGAGGACAAAGCTTGAAACATTGCTGCCAGACACTGATATTTAGTAGCAGTGAGTCATAATGTTGTTGTTGTTGTTGTTATGTGCCGTCGAGTCGCCTGCGACTCATAGCGATCCTATGTAAAACAGCCCTAAACTCC